TTAACCCGCTGCGCCACCAGGGAGGGCCCGGAAACTCCATTTTAAGTAGCAACTGCCATATTAGAAAGGGCCACTGTCCACAACTCAGAATAATTTCCAAGATGGTACCATGAATGGTGTCTGTGTGTGTGCATGCATGCCCATGTGTGTGTAGTGGTACAAAGAGTTGACTTGATACACTTAGATATTGTAAAGTAATGATAGCATTAGCTAACACCCCCCATGCCTACACATAATTGCCATTTCTTTTTGGGGTGAGAAAATTCAATATCAAATCTCTTAGCAATATTCAAGTCGATAATGCAGTATTATTAGCGATAAGCACCATGTGGTACACTAGATCATTTTATCACTGGAAATTTGTACCCTTTGACCAGTGTCTCTCCATGCCCTCCCCCCTCAGCTCCTGGGGGGAGCTGCTATTCACTTTCTCCAAGTTGAAGTCACAGCAGGTTTCGGAGGAGGGTTGCACATGTCCGATATTTATGACAAGCTCTGGAAGTGGACCCCTGACTCTCAGGAGGTCCTCTGAGCACACACTTGATCTTACCATGCGGCCTTCTTGGTGGAGGAAATGCTGAGGGAGTGTATTAAAAATCAGACGACCTCGTAACAAATGCTGTTCCGTGTCAGCCAACTCCTTTGTCACCTCGTGGACACCCAGAAGTGCCTTCTCATTTCACTCTCATTGCAACAACCTAGAGGCCCTTCCAGGATGTAAGAGGCCCTCCCAGGTGTCCCTCTGCACTTTGGAGGTGGCCTTGCTCATTTCTCCAGCCCCACTGCCCTCCCCTGGTGTCCACTGGCCAAATGGCTCCAGTCTTGGGGTGTTTGCCTTGCGGTGCCCTCTGCCTGGACGCCAAATCTAAAGCTAACCTGTCCCCTTCTACCCCACTCTCAACAATAGCTTATTTATTTACTTGTTTACTCATCCCTGTTTTGTCTCCACCCAGAACTGGGAGCTCAGGAATGACAGGAGGCCAGGGATTTTGGCTTTTCAGTCCTTTCACCAGCAGGAGAGCTCCGTAGAGATTTAGTAATTGTGGAGTTTGTACAAGGCACATCTTCTGCCCATTTCATGGATGAGGAAAAAGCTCAGAGACAAGAGAGAGAGAGAGAGAGAGAGAGAGAGAGAGAGAGAGAGAGAGAGAGAGA